GATACAAGGCTTTGTCTATATAAGACTCAAACTCACTGCGGATCCAGAAATTTGAATTGAGAAAGCTTCCTGGAGAGGTGGGGAAACGTCTTCAAATCTTGGAAACCAAGTCCAGTGGATATTTTTTGAATTTTTACGGAAAATATCTTGAAAACCAAGTCCAGTGGATATTTTTTGAATTTTTACGGAATGACTATGACCTGGATGACTGAGAACCTTCATCAGCATGCGTGTTTACTGTGTCATTTTTATAATTTAAATAAGGGAAGAAAAAGCCGTAATGGCTTCAAGACAGCAGCTATAAGTAGTCAGTTAGACTGATGTTAATTAATGAAATCAACAATCAATCTCTGAATAAAACTAAATACATAAACTGTGATTGAATCAAGACGATGATCAACAATAATATCATTACATTTCCACACAGGGCCAGGTTGGTAAGGAGAGCTTCTCCCCTTAATAACTCAGATCATTATTTTCAAAATGACATTTTCTGTTACATTTTTAGGGTCTTTGCCTGAAATGAGATGATGTGAAACATTTCAGTCACTGTTTGATTTTCTCTATAGTAAGAGCAAAGGCTGTTAGCAGGAACAGAACATCTAAATGGACTCAGACCTGAAAAAACAGAACAAACAGATCTGTTCTGGTTCTAAAACGCTTCATCCATAACAAGAAGATCCCAGTTTGAGCAAAAGTTAGAACAGAAAGAAGTGCTGAAATAAATAAATATAGAAGAAGAACTTCACCCGAAATAAATATAGAATAAAAGAATTCACCTGAAATAAATAAATACATATTAAATAAAAAAGTCAACCTTAAATAAATATTGATCGTGTCTTGGTCAGAAATCCAGACAAGCAGATTAAGATATGTTTAGGTCTTAATGCTAAACTATATCATGAAATTAATGTAAATATTTCCCCCAATAAGATTCATGAGCATTTAATGCAAATACTACTAAAACAGCTATTATATCTACTACTACCACTATTGGCCTGTTAGTACTACTAGTACTTCTACTAATATTTCTAAAAACTACTCCTATTGCTATATATTGTATTTTTTATTGTTGTATTATTCTTATAATAATAATAATAATAATAATAATAATAATAATAATAATAATAATAATAATAATAATAATAATCTAATTATTAACTTATTATTATTATTATTATTATCCATAGAAAACATCATTCTGTCATGATGGGTTCACAGAAAGCGACCCAAGAATGCAGAACACCACTGACGGACACAAGGATGATAGTTTAACAGTTTTATTTTGCACAAGCACACTGAATGTTCTGGTTCAGGTTCGGGGCCTGGATTCTGGTTCACCGGAGTCTGCGTGAGAGACAGTTCAGTTAGCGTTGCCAACAGAGGTTTGATTTCCAGAAGTCTACTGATTGTACCTTGAGGGTTCTTGAGGTTTAGCTTTGGGAGAGTCACTA